TTTTACATGCTTTGCCGATACGCATTTTTTTTGCCAATATCGGCGTCCAGATCCGATACATGGATCGGATCGGGACAAGCCTATGTAAGATAACTGCTTTGAGTGCACTTTTCTTTGAGCTACAGGGCATGTAGAGTCTATTCAGAACGATAAATAGTTGACGATTATTTAAATTATGGATTAATCGCGATTATTCCGATTGTTTGAGGCCTATGTTGCTCTACCTTGTGGCAAAGGGCCACCAAAACATTTCACAGCTTCCTTCTAATATCTGTTGTCTTTGTGCAATTTTTTCTAGAGGTGAAATATGTTCAGTTTCCAATTCTCCCACCTGAGCTGTGGATTTCTACAGCTGCTCCAAAGTTAGCATAGACGGTTCTGTTTCCTCTCGGATAAATGGTTTCCTTCCATTCTATGATGGGTCATACAGTGCTTTATGAGATGTAAAAATTTAACCAGCTTCTCAACAACCTGGCTTGACTTTGTTATCCTTTTCATTTAAACATCTGCATTTTCTGCACAGTTGGACGTAGATTCGCACAAATGTGGCCTGTTTTTATTAATTAGGTGACTTCTGGGAAAACTTGGTGACAATGGATTTTATTTAAGGTATCAGAATATAGAGGGGGTTGAAAGAAAATTAACACCTTCCTAGATTTGGATGCTAACTGTTTTTATCTAGTTAGCAGCTACTTTTGCTGAACAAGAATGAGTCTCAGAATGGTTAAAAAACTTATTTAATTAAAAGTCTTGTTTTTAACAGAACTGAACTGTTTGATTAGGGAAGTTGTGTTTTAGATTAAATCCAAGCAAGGCTAAATAATCCCACAAATATGACGTCTCTTTCTCTCTCTCTGATTAGAAAACCAAATACTAGCACATCTGTTGGTCTTTAACATAAATTCCCAATAAATTGCATGGATGATGAACGTTAAACAATAATACCTTTCTGGGTTGTGTTCTTTTTTTGCAAACAACACAAAGAGACGCAGGTTTACCAAGATGTTTTACCATTTATCGTAGCACATCAACTTGAACCAGAATTGCACACATAAAAAAGATGCAAAACTTGAAATCTTACAAAACATTCCCTGATATTATCTTTACAGACTTAACATGTGTGAATATTTAGCCATTTTTTAGCAGCCTAATGTTTAGAATGCAGTGAGGAACTTTTACCAACCAGCACGTTCAAAGCAGTTCATGCATGATGTTATAAATGTTAAGCGCACAGGAAACAATGTTCATCTCTGGTCACAGTGTTTACTCAGCTAATTGATCCACAGCAACACTAGAACAGAAGCGACTGATGTTTAGATTTTCAATATGATGGAATGAAGTCACTCTGAGTCACGCTACAGTCTGTTTTTTGATTTATTGCGATGACTACGGACCATAGAGTGGTAAATGTAGGGCAGCTTAGGCCAGCACAAACTGCCAGTTCGTTAGGAGGATCTTTATACCTCTGATAACTGAGACCACAGACGTGGCGGGGTTAAACTTTAACGTATTTGCGTCGCCTTTCTTACATTTGTCTCTGAAGACGTATATGCAGCCGTTACAGCTCGCCACCTTCCACAGAGAAGGGATGCAGCTCCACACCTCTGGGAAGCGCAACCGTGTGAAGCTCTCCAGCAGAGGGTTGTAGCACACCAACGAGTCCCCTTCTCCAACGATGAAGATCACGTCCATGTGGACGGCGGCGTGCATGCAGCCTGCGAACGGCAGCATGTAGGGCTTGATCTGACACTTCTGGGAGGAGGTGTCAAAGCACTGAATGAGACGCGACGGCTTTGTGAAAAAGTCCATGTCGTTCTCCTCCCCTCCGAGCAGGTAAATGGTTCCTCCCAGGTTGACGCCAGCGGCGGCGGAAACGGCGGTGTCCAACTGGCTGGTCTCTGTCCACACGTTGTCCTTCACCGTGTAGTAAATGATGGCGTTGGACAGCGTGTCCTGCAGCGTCTTGCCTCCCAGGGAGTAGATGGCGTCTTCAGAGCTCACAGAGACCATAGTGTGATGGAGGCGGTCTCTAGGCAACGGGGCACAGCGCTCCCAGTCCATGGTGTGCATGTTGCACTTCCACATGCGGCGGGGGATGGACCCCCCCACCACGTACAGGTCCCCACCATGTTTACAGGCGGCAGTGATCTGATGGCACAGGCTGTTCTGGCCGCTCACACTGATGGCGTCGTCTTCGTCACAATGCAGCGACACCGCCAGGGAATGAGTCCTGGTCTCCTCTTTACCGATCAGATAAATGTGGACGTTTTCCCCAATTTCCTAAGAAGGAACCACAGAGGTTTCAGTTACAGAAATAAGCATGTAGAGAAATAAAGATCTTATTATCAACACTGTAAAAAATGTTAACATTAAAAGTTCCTTTTAGATCTATTCACTTTAAAATCATATTTTTCTTCCTTTCCATGTTTCCTGTTTGAAGCTAAGCAATTTTAATAACTTTGATTTTTTTTTTAGACACATGCACCTGTTAAATGTGAAGTTAAGTCCCCCTGAAGACGGTTACGCCTCGGAGCGTCGCTTCCGGATCCTTTCCTGGGAGCAAGTTACCTAGTGTAATAATTACTTAACTCAAACTTGGTAAAACCGTACAAAAAGGACTATGAAAACAGGAGTAAAAATTAACAGAGTTTATTCCAGTTCAGATCGTTACAGGACAGAGAAATTGCTTGGAGTCGGCACAACTGTTTGCTCAAAGCGTCAGCAAGCGTTGGCATCCGGCAAAATTGATATTGTCATTTTGTATACACCAGTGTATACAAAAAGAAATTTTGTTTAGAAGTAGGGATGGAACGGTTTATGAAAACCGTCCGAACCGTTCGGTTCGACTGTCTCGGTTCGGTTCATGCGCTGCTCCTTTTTCTCATATGCGAAGCGTGTACACTCCAGAGCAGAAGGTGGCGGTACTGCGACCAAAGCCAACCACCAGTAGTAAACAGGGTTGTCACGATACTAAACTTTTCAACTCGATACCGATACTAGGGAAAATATTCGATACTCGATACCATTTTCGACACCACAAGGATAAAAACAAAGACTCCAAAATTCTACAGAAATATTTTCATTAATAAATAAAATACAATAAATAAATAAAATAAAGGTTGTATGCTGTGCAAAATATTAAGCAAGCTTGATAAAAACTTATAAAATTAAAATTAAGTGTTCCTTCCTTGGCTTTGCTTTGCACACAGAACAATGACACTAGCCAAATCAGTTAAGAAACAAAAATAATTCTCAGCAGCTGCACCTGTTACAAAAAAAAGTCTGAAACTGAAAAGTGCACAGAATTATTCAATCACACAGAGTTCAGAAAGTGCATTGTCCTCTATTCTGCACTTTAGATGAATGACTGCTTAGGTGCCACTGGTGGTGGCACTGTATCGAACTACTTTTAAAAACGAGTATTGTATCCGAATACAACGTTTCAGTATCAATACTTTTTTGAGTATCAATACTTTTGACAACCCTAGTAGTAAACAAGAAGAAG